AAGACCACATGAATGACAATCTTAGACGAAACCAGATGTGCTGACCTTTATGATCACCTCTCCTCTTGACCGAACGTCATACACATTATGAAAATGGTTGTCGAGCAAATCACGCGATTCCTTTGAGAGATGAATATGACCTGCTGAAATGTCGGAAAATAAAAGCGGACGTAGAGAATTCATCCTCTCGCAACGAAGTTGATTCTACGATATTTTACTATACTGACTCGGTACTTGATACTTGAGCGGCTCGTCATCACTAGTTGTGCGGGCTCATAATCACCATTTTTTGGAGACTTGCTGGTTAACCCATTGTGGTTCCCTGAAATCCCCAGGACAGCTTGGCCAAAGTCTGCTCCAGGTCGTCACCACGATAAGCAGTCGCAGCATTTGTGGATCAGAGGGAGATTTACCACCATGCGACTAATTTGATACCAGGACGGGGGTGGATCCTGGTATTGGTTTACTCTCAGCTAGGCTTTCCTGATGGAAACGCCGAACTCCTTAGCTTGGGAGACCTTGCCGAGGGAACGAATCGTCCCGTTGTACATCGTAGTCCGACACCTAGGAACACCTCACAGCCACGATGAGGCGGTAAACCGTTGGGAGGATATTTTACTTTTCTTTTAATAAATTAGTAACCTTTCAATCAGCCGAGTATACTGATCGGTAGTTCAGAATATTATGGGTTTATAGAAGAGTCTTGCCTCTGTCGCGCTTAGATACAATTTTTACACAGCAACCTTACAATCCATGGATCTCCCTCACATGAGGGATCTCGAACCGGCTAGTCGCAAGGCTACGTGGCGCGTCCCCAGGTGGCGGATATGGGGTTAATCGTGGACCAAAAGCGACCTTTGCTTCCCTGAGACGTAGATGGATCCAGGGGATGGACTCCCTATTTCTGCTGCGGCGATTTGGCACATGCTTTCTGCATTTGCTAGGCGTATTCATGCATGAGTGTGTATTCTACAGGCCAATTATGCCAAAAGCCTGCAATCAAGTGATAAAGGAGTACATGGGAGGTGGTTAGGAGTCACCTCCAACAAATAAGCTCGCTCCATATCCACTCTGGGAGAGCTTGGCAAGCTAACCGTGAGTATACGCAGTCCCCACGTTCACAGCTCAGCAAGCTATGTGTCGGTATCAAAATGCTAAACACAGTAAACACCGGAGAAGAACCTGTTCCTCGGAACATGCGGCAGTAGAGGAGTCAGCGGCGTCGGTGTACTCCTCAGCACGAGTTTGCCAATGAGCATCAATTCATTCGAACAGCTTACCACCTGAATCGGACGTTTACCATTAAAAAGATGTGGATCAAGACCGGCTTTGACAATCTTCGTCGTTTACGTGCCGACATCAAACTACGACGAAGAAAAAGTCGAAGCGTTCTACATGGACTTGGAAAAGTTCTACAGAGAAGACCATACGTTTTTCAAGGTTATTATTGGAGATTTTAGCGATAAGATTGGATCAAGAAGAACATCCGAAGCACGTCACATTGGGACCCAATGATTAGAATGGAACGAATAGGATGAGCGGTTATCTGAGTTTATCATGGCGACCAAGACAATCCATGGTAACTCGCAATTCCAGAAGCCCCACCCTCAACGCTGCACGTGGGAGTCTCCGAATGGAGAGTACCATAACGAAACAGAACACATCATAGTAAATAGGTTTGCCTAACCGATCTCGCTGTTGTCCCAAAATTTTACACGGGACCAGACCACCGTCTCTATCGTGCAAGATTCCATTTCTCGCGGAAAGGAGAAAAGGCCGTTAAATCCCAAAACCGAGGTCCCGGAACCACCGTAAACTGGGATTTATTCAATTCATTAATCAGCCGCTGGGAAGGTACCGTTGTCGGTAACATCGACGAAGAATACTGTCGCCTCATTCAACATCTTCACGTTAGCGCTATGAAAGCTGAGAGTTCGAAAGTCACCAAGAGACGTCTGTCTCCAGAAACACTAGAGCTAATACGCCAGCGTGGAATCGCACAAGCTGTAGGCAACCGTGAATTAACGTCCGAATTTGCAAAAGAATGCAGACAGGTGATAAAAGAAGATCTTAAAGAGAGAAGAGCAGTAGTAATGGTCGAACCTGCACAGGCTGGAAAAAGCGTTCGCAAAGGCCACCGAAGCTTTCCCAATTACAAGACCAAGACGATTGCACTCCGACGCCCAGACGGAACAGTTACAGCGTCCAGAATGGCAATGGAGAAAATCATTCACGAATACTACTCAGAGATCTCTTCGATAGCCACGACCACCTTCTGTCATATGAAATAAAGGAGGATGGACATATTGTACCACCGGTTCTCCCTTCCGAAATCTGACATGCCATTTCATCGATGAAAAATCGAACAGCACCACGTCCGGGCAGGATGAGACCAGAACACCTGACGAACTTTCCGCCAGACCTCGTCAACACACTGGCTAGGCTCTTCACACGTTATCTGTCTGAATACAAGGTGCCTAGTCAATGGTTCTGCTCGCTCTAGAGATTCGTCGCGCATCATATTTTTCTTCAAAACTCTTTGTGAAGAACTCTGACCATCGAGTCGGTGGTCTTCCTGCAGTGCGTTTAACATCCCGAGGTATCCAGTCACTAACGGCTCGTGTCCATCGGTTGTCATTCATACGCATTGCGTGTCCGGCCCACCTTATCTTCGACTGTTTGGCGTACAGAACGGTACCCTTAATTCTTGATCATTGGCGCAGGTCGGAGCTTCGGATCTCATCCCTTATTTATGTGGAACGGAATACTCCTAGCATCGTCCTTTCGACTGCGCATTTGATCAAGCTGAGTGAACTTTCATCTTGTTTAAGAAGCGACCAGGTTTCTGACGCATACGTTACGGCAGGAAGTATCCGTTGAGTCTGGGCACGGAATCGGGTGTTCCTTCTCCTTTTCACTACATTCTCGATGCTCTTGAAAGCTCCCCAAGCTGCTCGTTTCCTTCTGCTCAGCTCTGGAGCTGAGTCGTTCAACATGTTGATCTCCCGACGTAGATGGACATAATTGGCGCATTCGGATATTCGTTCCGTTGAGCATAAATCGGCCTTACGAAACCACTCCGTTCTTCATGAACATTGGATAACATGGGAATAAAAATTATGAAGTGAAAAAGGTTGACCATCTTCGCTTTGCTGATGATATCATCCTTATAACATCATGGCTTAGTGAAGTGGTGCGAATGCTAACCAACGCTAATTAAGAGGTTTGTCTTCAACTACATTCTCACAAAACGATGTTCGTAAAGAACGGATTGATTTCGTACGCTCCATTCTCGTTCAATAGGACGAATAAATATATGCGGCGTTTACCTAGATCGAAAAGTCAACATGATGAATGACTTAGGTCTAAAGTTGGTCAGGAGTAAGCCAGCGACGTGGAGAGCTTTCAGAAACAACGAGAGTATATCCTCCCTTCCTTGATGTGGGCGCCCAAACCTGTTCGATACGTAGCAGATTGAAGGATCTTTCAGTTTTATATAGCGCGCAGTCGAAACGACGATGCTAGAAATATCCCGTATCACGCAAATGGCGAAGATCCTATGAATTTTAGCAATCCAAAGTCGAAGACGCCGTTCTACACACTAGATTGCCGAGTGTGGCGGAGACGTAATGCGTCTGAATGACAGCCAGTGGATAAGAGCCGTTACTTGATACTTAATACTTCAACGGCCCGTCCTCACTGGTTGTGCAGGTCCCAATATAATCTCCATTTTTCGGAGATTTGCTGGCTAAGCCATTTGGCTCCCTGGAATCCTGAGGTCAGACTGGCGAAAGTCTGCTTCAGGTCTTTACCACCACGAGCAGTTGCAGCCCTTGTGGATCAGAGGGAGATTTGCCACCATGCGACTTTGATACCAAGACGGTGGTAGATCCTAGCATTGGTTTGCTCTTAGCTAGGCTTCCTTATGGAAATGCAAAACTCTTTCTCAGCTTGGGAGATCCTACCAGGGATGAACCCGTCGCTGTACATCGTAGAGTCCGAGACCCAGGAACACCTCCCATCCACGATGAGGCGGGAAACCGCTGGGACAAGAGCCGTTAGCGATTGGATTCTTAGGGATGTCAAACGAACGGATAGAACAGCACCGAACTGGTGATAAGATTTCTTCACTAAAACCCTGGAGGAAAGGTAGGTTGTTTAACTACCTAGAGCGAGCAGAACTCATTGGACTGCTCTTGCACACGACAGCGAGAAATGGAAAGTTTGCAAGCGCCTGATCAAGTCACTCGACGCTTAAGGGTACGACAAGTGACAGCTCTTACATGAGTGTGGAACTTCAAGACCTATAATGAAAAAAAAATGGTGGGTGTTTAAAAAAGTTGTTCACCATTTAGATGAAATTTATGTAATCAATTTTATCCGCTGAGGTTGTTAAAGTAGTTGACTTCGTAGATTGTTGGTCAATTTGACTTTTCCAGGCTCTGAAGCGAAACCGACGAAATGTCAGGCATCATTCATGAGTACGTGCTGTGATAACAGCCTCGTGTTCGCTCATCAAGAAAACTGGGAATTTGTGTTTTGCAAACTTGCAAATAAACATTTTCACTTTGCTGATGATACCGCTCTTATAACATCGAGGCTTAGCGGAGTGGAACGATTACTTGCCTATCTCCATAGCGCGTAATCTGAGACTCTCATCCTCTCTCAAGAACACTTTCGTAAAAAGGATTTGTCTTGCATTCCTGTTTAAAGGAATGAACATCACCGAGTGCTTTAACTATGCACCTGAGATGGGGAGTTGATTAGGAATGACTCAGCTGAATAGCAGAGCTGGAATGAATTAGTAGCTATAAGAGCCTAAAAAGGCAACAGGGATACTTAGTGACGAGGAAGAACAACATGGAGGACCATGTTTACTCTTTCTACCTCGGAGTATTCTTTTTTCCGTAAAGTGCTTGTTGGAAAACTGGATACTAAAGTATCCAGGTTTTGTGATAATTCACTTGAAAACTCTACTAGAGAGGGGATGAAGGAATTTCTCAACTGACTGCGAAGGCTGCGTAAATTTTTCCATTTTTGTAGGCTAACAAATAGCATGTAGCAAGTGAAATGCAAATTTTGTTGCAGTTATCCTTTACTGAAAGCGCTGGCTCACAAGAACCGGAGTGATGTTCTTTTATAAGAGTCTGATATTTAGTTACAAGAACTGTTCTTTCACCCTTTCCGTTGCTTTCCATCCTCGAGGCGGTGTTCACGGTGTCACCAAAGAGGCAGTATCGGGGCATGCTCAACCCAACAACGCCGGCTACACAAGGACCTGCAATAAAATAATTTCTAAAAGAAATTTGCCTTCTTAAAAAATGTGCAGTTTTAAAGAAGTCATCTATGAGAATTAAAAACAATTCCCGATACTTAGAAAGTCCAGTGTGAGACCAGTACAAAAAGTTTGCGTTCAACAAACAGTTGCATCCAGTACAGAGATGAGAGCTTTATTTTGGCATAGAAAGAGCGAAAAATCCATATCGTTTTGCTTAGTGAAGTCTCGTAAGGACCTGAGTTAACTCCGATTCGAAGTTGAATTCTTTCCTTTGGAAGAGACGCGATTCGGAAATCGTTAACAAAGTCCATGAATGAGAGCGATAGTTCTGCAATCTCTTTTATGTGATTGTGCCCATTTCTAAGTGGAAGGCCAGAAACGCATAGATAGCCATCACCGATCGATTCGACCTATAAAGAGCGACATCATTTCTAATAACAATGGTTTGTTTTCAAGAAGCTTCTAGAGAAACAAAGTCGAAAGGAGATCAGTGTTTGATACTTTGTAAACGCAGTGCTCCTCTATAATAGAGTCGAAGCCGCTATAGAGATCGTTGAGGAGGTTCACAGTCTGTAAATGAAGGCACTCTTCAACACATATTTTCGAGGTCTATTGAACTACTAAACTGCCCTACCTGATAGGCACTGCATTTTGCAGACAACTGGGTGAATTTGACAACATCGGAAAAAAATACTGTAACACAGTCGAAGCTCTCCGATTCTACCGTTTGGCCCAACATCAGGCGATCAGCTACTTGGCTACAATGGCTGGCGTTAAAAAAGTGTTTTCATGTCGTCTTTCCGTGCAAGTAAAATTTTCTTTGGGGATACTCAGTTGTAAATCGAACATACCTCGGTAGCATTCGCCTTAAAAGAATATCTGCCTTCTTTTTTTCCTCCTGTAGCTCCTTCGTTCGCTCCTCGACATCCAGCTCAAGTGTATTTGTGTAATCCTCAAGCATGGTAAACATGTGATCCATGAGATTGCCCTTCTTTTCAGAGTTCGTCGTCTGCAAAAATTTGGGAATAATTCTACATTAATAACAAATAGGTTTACGAGCCTTACATAAACATTCGGAATTTACCTTCAAAAGTCTACATATCGTATCGGCGGTAGGGCGTTCAGAGGCTCGTTCGCTCCAGCAATCGCGAATAAGATGAAGCTGAAGTTAAGAAGGAAAACCTGCGGAGAGAAAAAACGAAATACTGCATCCATGTCTACCAATGCAGAGTTGATTTCGCCATCGATGTTGAGATCTGGACGTATAGGTGCGTGTCCGCCTTTTTTAATCATGTACAGTAGTTCTGAAACACACCACTATGGTTAAACGAAGTTCAGCGTGAATTAACAGTGTGGAACTAGGGATAGTAACACTGACCATCCAAGCTTTCTTTTCGTTCTTGATAATTCCACGGGGGTTTTCGCGTAATTACTTCCGATGAAATTATGGCAAAGGAGTAAATATCTGCTGCCTTCGAACAAGTTGGTGAATCCTGATCTCGTAGAATTTCAGGAGCCATCCATAGAAACCCTTAATACACCAAAATTAATAGTGACTAACATCATACAGCAGTATGTAAACTATAGCCTTGACTTTTAATTTTAGGGCTCAAGTACAGAGGTCTCATTTAACAGTGCACTTCTCGAAATGACAGAAAATTCTTGAAAGTAACTTGAAATAAATTGCATTTCACACACCATTCTACTCATAGAGCGATAGAGCAAAGTCTGTTCTGCAGCGCCATTGTACTGGCAGTCCTGTAAACCTTCTATTTATGGATAAACTATCGTCTATTTCCGGAAAACCAACGCGCTCGTTACGGTTCAAACTCAGCACTACCCCAAAGGCAATGCCGCTAAATGCTGCGCGACGCCAATGTGTTGTCAGACAATTTTTGTGGCTCACTGATAGTGAACCACGGATCTAACCCACAGATGGCTTGCTAACCGGCTAGTCGTTACGTTACGCTACCAGTCCCCAGGTGACGGATTGATTTTGCTCAACCGATGTCGTTGTTATAAAATTCTACCCAGGACCAGAGCATCGCCCTCTTCCCGCAACGTTCCTTTTCTCGATAAAAGGAAAGAAGGATGCTAGCTTCAAAGGAAGAAATCGCAAAACGACCATAAATTAGGACAGTTTCAGATAAACAGTCCCTTTCTAGGAGATGCTGTTGCTTACACCATCGACGAGGAGTATGATTAGTTTATTCAACAACTTTGTGTTAGCGCCATGAAAGCTGAGAGTTCGGAAGCAACGAAAAGACTCATAGCTACAGAAACACTTACAAATATGGGATCACATAAGCTACAGGAAGCCTCCAGCTTACGTCTGAACGAGCAAAACACTGAAGAAAGTTGATAAAAAAATCTTAAAGAGAAAAGAGAAGCAGTTTTGGCCCAAGCTGCGGAGGCTGGTAAGGACATTCGTCACCAAAACTTTACCAATTACATGACCATGATGACTGAACTCCGACGCCCAGACGAAACGGTTACAGAATTCACAACGACAATGGGGGAAATAATTCGCGATGACTACTTGGATATCTTAAATGGCGACGTCCTCCTTCACTCGTATGAAAAAGAAGGACGGAAAGGTTGACCGCCCCCTCTCCCTTGCGAAATCCGTTATAGTATTTTGTCGGTGAAGAACCGAACAACACGTTGTCCGAACAGGATAAAATCTGAGCAGGTGAAGAACCTTCCGCCGGCCCTTACCAAAATATTGGTTGGGCTTTTCATACGTTACCGCTCTGAATGCAAGGTTCCTATTCAATAGAATATGAGGAAGACTGTGTTATTATTCAGAAACGGTGACCACGATATCGGCATGTATGAAACCAATCTGTTCCTCATGAACATCGTTTTTGTGAAATTTAGTGAAAGACCAATCTTTCCACAGGGTCTATCACATGCGGCAAGCATTTGCTCTGCTTGGTCAGTTCATGGTGTTATAAAAACTATGGAATCAACAAAGCGAAGATGGTGTAACTGCCCATCATCGATTTTCACTCCCATGTGATCCCACTCCAATGCTCGCATGACGTTGTCGAGGGTAACCGCAAATAATTTTGGCGAGATGGTATCGCCTTGCCTAACCCCTCTTTTGAGGTCACTGTTAATATCGTTGTAGAATGGTGATATCTTCATTGTGAAAATTTCATGCAGATCACGAGGAATCTTTCTATACTGAGTAGAGACGCCGTGGTTGCTCAAAGGTTCCGTGACTGTTTCTATCCCAATTGATTCGAAACCTTAAAATTGGTGAAAGTGAGATGGCGGTCTCTTGTACTGTAGCAGTATTTCAAAGAGTGTTGGTATTGTTTGGATTTTAACCGTCGTACTGAATCTTTTTGAAAACCTTGCTTGCTCACACGGCTGCTCTTCGCCCAGTGTTCTACCAATCCTGTTTGGGACGACTCGAGTGAAAAGTCTACCGACGAGAGGCAGTACGCAGATTGGACGACAGTTGCTAATTTCGTAGAGGCCAGCTTTCGTTAACAATAGGTCGGCGTTGTTTGTGTTGCATCCAAGCGAGTAGTGTGAGACAAGCCGAACCACTGCGTTTATAAGGACTGGCGCAAGGTTCTTCAGATATTTAGGTCTTATCCTGTCCGTACCTGGTGCTGTTCGATTTTTCACTGACGAAATAGTATCTCGGATTACCGAAGGGAGAACTGGTGGTACAACATATCCATTCGCCTTTACTTAATATGAGGGCACGAGAACGTGGCTACTGAAGAGACCCGAGTAGTAACGGTGAATTACTTTCTTCATTGCCTTTCTGGACGCCGTAACTGTTTCATCTGGATTTTGGCGCGTAATTCTGTTGATCTTTTGGTAGGGGAAATGAATTGGCGCCTTCCTGTAGCTCGTGCGATTTCACATTGGTGTATTCGTTTCAGTGTTTCTGCAGACAGGCTTCTCTTCGTGACTATCGAACTCTCAGCTTTCATAGCGGCAACACAATGTTATTGAATGAACTAAACGAGGTCTTCGTCGTTGTTGTCAAAAACGACATCCTAGCGTGAACCGACCAACAAGCTGAATAAATTCTAGTTTGTGGTCGCATTGAGACTCCGTTTTCTGAATTTAGTAGCTTTTCTCCTCTCCGCTAGGAATTAAGTCCTGCACGAAGAAAACTATGGTCTGTCGTTTTCTTGCTCAGCAATCGCGAGGTTGCTAAACAGCATACATTTACTTCCATAGAAAAACACAATACAATACAAGAGTAGCTGAAGTTTTTGCAGAATCGCCTTCTTCAGAGCCTGGAAGGGTATACTGACATACAATCTACTAGGCCAAACGCTTCAATGACGCTTACAAAAAGACGAAAAACTCTATGGTAATTGCATGACGAACAGCTTCTCGAAAAACTCACCCCTTTTTATGTGACTTCCAGTGAGGAATTTTAGAACAGCTGATTATAGTCGTATATGGCTGATGACTACACCATCCCACATCAGAAATTGATGCAAACATACGGGGTCAGATCGCGTATGACCTCTGGGCATTCATCCCTGCTATTCATTGTAGGGTTTTTGGCATTTATCCAAAAAGCCTCAAGAAGTTTTCGCTCTGGTGTTTTAGTCTCCTGTGCAAGGATATTGACTTTTACTTCAAAATCGTCTCCACTATGCTTTTGTATTCTACGCGTGCCTAGTGGGGCACTCTGTCTTAGTTTTCGTTGGCCATATAGGTGTTCTTTTATACGGACACACAAAGATCTGCCCGTTTCGCCAATGTATTCATCTCCGCAGCTATTACAAGAGATCAGGTATATCGTACCTGAACTCATGCAATCACCGTTCCTGCCATAAGGACAAATTGCGCAATTTGTTGTTTTACATAGACGGTCATACAGGTGGTTACGAACTAACTGACGATGTAAGTATTTCAACTATAGTTGGAGGATACAGGAGACTAAAACAGCAGCGCGAAAACTTCTTGAGGCTTTTTGGATAAATGCCAAAAACCTTACAATGAATAGCAGGGATGAATGCCCAGAGGTCATAGGCGATCTGACCCCGTATGTTCGCATCAATTTCTGATGTGGGATGGTGCAGTCATCAACCAAATGCGACTATAATCAGCTGTTCTAGCCTTCCACATTGGAAGTCACATAAAAAGCGGTGAGTTTTTCGAGAAGCTGTTGATCATGCAATTGCCATAGAGTTTTTCGTCTTTCTGTAAGTGTTATTGAAGTGTTTGGCATAGTAAATTGTATATCAGTATACCTTCCAGAGCCTGAAAAAGGCGATTCTGCAGAAACGTTAGCTACTGTTGTATTGTATTGTGTTCTTCTATGGAAGTAAATGTATGCTGTTTAACAACCTCGCGATTGCTGAGCAAGAAAACGATGAATTCATATTCAAATGGCAAGGTTAATAGAAAGTCGATCCTGGGAGCAGTTACGATGGATGGTCTTAGTCATTATGATAAACTCGGACAACCACTGGTACTGTTCGTTTCTTTCGAATCCATGAGTCACAATGTGGCCTCTCTCAGACGTTCTTCTGGTCCGTCGTTAGTGTTGAGGTCTCCAATGATGAGCTTCAAGAATATACGGTCTTCCTTCTAGAACTTCTCAAAGTCCACATAAAACGCTTCCACTTCGCCTTCGTCACAACTTGGTACAGGTGCGTAGACGACGAAGATTGTAGAAACTAGTATTGATCCACGTGTCTCCAACCGTAGACGTCCAGTTCGGGTTATCACTTGTTCGAATAAGACAATGTTCATGGCCAAACTCGTGTTAATCAGAACGCCGACGCCACCGACTCCTCTGTTTTTGATGCTCCGAGAAATATTTGTTTTTCGGTATCACAGATAGTGTTAAATGGGCGGCTTCTCGCTTCAGTCGGCCCGTTGACGTCGTGCTTTATTCTTCTTGTCTGCATAATCAGGTTCTCTTTAGGGGATTCAAGAACAAATAAGCGTGTATTGTAAGTACAGGTCGTCATCTTAGCCTTTTGTGATTTAGGCAGCATAGTATGGCTCAGATTTTAGTAGCCTCTCCATACTCGTACCACCCAACGCTGACGTATCCGGGTTCATTCGGCGTCAGGGGAATGACGACAGTTTATTTTACTGTGTTTAGCTTTTAATACTCACGTACTGAGCTCTGAACGTGGGGCTGGGTAAACTCATGGCTAGCTTGCCAGCCTCTCCCAGAGTGGACATGGAGCTTATTTGCTGGAAGCGACTCCTGACCGCCTTCCCTATACTTCGTAGATGCTTCGTTGCAAGGATTTAGTTGAATTCCTGGTGTATGATGCACATAAACGGAAAGTGGTCCATTCAAGCATGCCTGAATACATCCTCGTAGCACATAGAAGGTATATGCCAAATTGGAGAAACTGAAACAGGAAGTCCTTCCCCTGGGTTCACCTATGCCTCGGGGAAGCATAGGTCACTTTTGATCCGCGATTAACCCCTATGCGTCACCTTGGGACGCGTCAAGTTGCCTTGCGACTAACTGGCATGAGACTCTTATGAGTGACATCTGTGTCCAATCTGC